CCCGGGCTTCCTGGAATCAGCCACTGATCAGTTTCAGCAGCAGCTGACTTGGGGACGCCTGGGGTTCTTAAGTTGAATCTGTATGTAAGTCAGAACTGGCGGTCAGTTTCATCAGCGGCTGAATCTGAACGCCAGTTCCGACTTACATACAGATTCAACTTAAGAAGAAACCTACAGTCCCTATCTTGTACGTAACCTGGGGACTGCCTGTATACTGTGCTATATTTTCCTCTGTTTCCAGAAAATTCCTTTGGCTCTTCTAGTGAGGAGATTCTGACTTGATAAATCCAGTGGGGATTCTTAAAGCAGAGACATCACCTTCTGCCCCTTTGTACATGGAAAAGCTTTTCTGCAAAAGCGGAGATACGATTAATTCCTTGTGAGTGTTATAGCTGCCATGGACCATGCTAAATGCTGTGTGTAATAAGCGATGTATTCTAATTTAGGCTGTCATTGCCTTGATGGAGATGGGCTTTGATGAAAAAGAAGTGATAGATGCACTCAGAGTAAACAACAACCAGCAAAATGCAGCAGTGAGTACGCTCTGTTATTTTTATTCCTAATTGCTATCATGATCATTTGGTCAATTGAGAATTCTTGATCACTGAACTGGATGGCACTTGGTCGTACTTTAATTCAAACTAGCCTCATGTAACACGGCTTGGCTTTTCGCAGTCCAGCCTAGCATTTATTGGAATTGAAGCAAACATGATGAAATATCATGCATCATTGGAAAGCAGTCACTAATGGGCTAGAGAGTGGCAGTAAACAAGCCTTCTCCGCAAAGAACTGCTTCCAGAGGGGAAATGTTGAGATGGAAAACTTTGGCCGGAGACATGGGAATTGGTTTTTGAGGTTCTCATTTGAAGGAAGATCACCTCATCCACAATATACTCTCACTCACTCTTTCATTTTATCCTCTTCTGAAAGAAGGAGGGTTGAGTTGCCCTTGCTGGATTTCGAGATGTTCTCCTGGCAGCGAGATTAGTCAGCTTCCTCTCCAGCTTTCGCTTTGGGGGCCTCCTAGAAAGTTATCGTAGAGGAGGATGACAGTGCTGGGGCAAGCTGGACGTTTCCAGTGTGACCTACAGAGTGTCTCTTCATGTGGGTTTGAGAGCCAGAAATCACTTTTCTTGCTGTATGAGGGGCTAGTCCAGCTCCCACTGGAGTAATGGGAGCCTTGGAGTTGACTTCACCCGGAACAGGACCTAACTGAGGAGTAGTTAATGTGTTAATAGATATAACTTTGTCTAAGATGTTCTAGCTTGTGCCTTATTTACATGAGGGATTGAAGTCTCTGGAGTTTGCGTTTCAATGGAGCTAATTATAAACTTGTCATGCCTGCTGACTTTTACAGTGTGAGTGGCTGCTGGGAGACAGAAAGCCATCTCCAGAAGATTTAGATAAGGGGATTGACACCGCTAGCCCTCTCTTTCAAGCCATCCTAGAAAACCCAGTGGTACAATTAGGGCTGACAAACCCTAAAACGCTGTTAGGTAAGTACTGTCCTGGCTTTTGACAAATATGCATTGCTTCTACAATTGCTGACAATCAGAAAATACTCTATTTAAATAAAGCCAAGTGAATATATGGGGAAGGGGCAGCTCTTCACATTTTCCCCCTTATGCAGTGTAATAACATGCTGTGTATAATGCCATGCAAGCAGTGTGGGCTTGGGAATAATCATGGGGCTGTGTCAGAAATAACACAGTGTCTAGGAAATGACAAGTCTTAGTCCATATCTGTGAAAACAGCAAAGAGTCCTGTGGCACCTTAAAGACTAACATTTATTTGGGCATAAGCTTTCATGGGTAAAAACCGCGTCATCAGATGCATGGAGTGGGAATCACAGAGCTTGGGGGCACTCCATGCATCTGATGACGTGGTTTTTACCTATGAAAGCTTATGCCCAAATGAATCTAGGTGAATGAGTTCAACCTGTGCTATCCAGAATGTCATGGCTATTGGCTAGAGCATCCCTGCAGTTCTAGGCGATCAGTTGCACCAAACTTGACCAGAGTTTGTCAGGGAAAATTTAGAGTTTTGCTTGGTATCGTGGGGGGCCTTAGCTACAAAAAACGTGGCAGCAAATGCGCACTGTATTGCAGCTTACTATAGATTAAAGTCTGCTCATTACTCAGAGGGCAGTAGTTGGCTGAGTTTAACTGAACTGAAAGCTGCCAGCTAAGGACTTCTGTGTCTGTCCTGCCAAGGCTGAAATAACAGCTGTGGACACATGCTTCACCCTTTTTGGAGTTTTGCCCTATAGAGCATCTGTTTCCCTCCCTCCCCTCAGTCAGAGAGCATCTGTAGCTGGGAAAGTCACATGATTAATGCACCCAAAAGTGACTGGAATGCAAATTGTGGTGGTTGGGTTACTCTGAGGAAAGTCTGCACAGTCGATATTTAGTGGAGATATTTAGTAGGGAGAAATTTGGCCTTTCTGCAACATAAACATGCTTCATATTTAGTCTCAGGGTTGCCTAGACTTTTTATTTAAAGGCATGCTTTTAAACCTAGGGTGCATATGAATCCCCTTGCAGTGGGTCTCTTGAACACTTACATGTACTGTGAAGTTTTGTGGGTTTTAAATAATGTAGGAGTTGAACCCGCCCACTCTGATTTCGAAACAAGTGGCATCTTCGTTTCAGAAGGAGGGTTCCATGCTGCAGCTCAGGATATAAAAATAGAAAATGTCATTGTACAGCTTGGATGAACATCAGAGTGCATACTGTTGCTAATGATACCTCTGCATATTGGCAGTGTCATGCATACTGGCACCAATATTTGCATTTAATTAAAAAATACTTAGTCCTCCTTTAGTGCAATATATTTTGAATCTCTAACTTCTCCTCAAAATGGGAGGAAGCATGGTCTGGTGCTTGAAGCATGAGAGCTCTATTTTATTCTCAGTTCTTCCAGAAACCTGCGTTGTGACCTTGGGGAAGTATTTATAGTCTGCCTTTCAGAGGTGATGAGTACCTACAGCTCTCGTTGATTTTATTGAGAGCTGTGGGCACTTATCACCTTTAGAGAATTGGATCATTAAACTTTCTGCTTGTTTGCCAGACTGTTGTGTAACCTGTTACACTGACCTTTAGGAGACTGCTGAAAAGGTCAGATTTGTGATTTGTGTGTGGCCCACGATGAGTAAGTGTTCCAAACTTCAGCTTCTTCTTCGAGTGGTCCCTGGGGGTGCTCCGCTCATGGTGTCGGGCTTGTCCGGGCGCCGCAGCTGCGGCACTGGGACGAGCCCGACACCATGAGTGGGGCACCCACGGGGACCCATCTCGAAGAACCATCGTTACTGCACGAAGGTGAGTAACTTCTTCTTTTCAACTCTGTGGGAAACTAAATGTTTGTCCGGGCCACACTGTCCCAAGCCTCTGTAACTATTGGATCAAATGTTCTTGTTTCCTGCTGCATTTGCAGCCCAAATGTTGCAGCAATGTGCTAATGCACAAGAACCACAGTGTCACGGACTTGTCTGGTCATCATCCAGACAGAGCGAAATGCAAACTAATTACACTCCGGTCATCTGAAGACGTGGGTGGTGCCCACGAAAGCTCACAATACCATCCTCATGTTTTGTTAGTCTTTAAGGTGCTACCAGACTATTTGTTTTGTAAGATTTTTTTAAGTGAACATAAACATTGAGAAGTGAATGAGTGGAGTAATCTTGGTGGAGGGGTTATTTGACACAGGTGAAGCAAACTATTTTTAGCCATTTGGGCCTAGAACATCAGTCAAATCTCCAAAGAAAAGGGACCATCTCCCCTGACACACACATACCATGAGAGCTGGTGTCTGCTGTCTCCATGGCAGCTTGCATGCCCTTGACTCCATGAGAGGGCAGTGATTAGACTGATGAAGGAAGGAGCTTGGTGACTGGTGTTGTTCCTCCTCTAGCCCCAGAGAGTAAGATCATCTTGTGGCCAAGGCAGGGGAGCTAATAGCCTCACCGGACCCTGGGCAAGGTGAGGGCCGGGCCTGGGCAACCAGCGTTCAGTGCCTCCCAGGCTATGGTGCTCCTCCCTGCCAAGCCCTCAGAACGGCCCGGAGCGTGGCACTCCAGCAGCAGTTTAAAGGGCTCTAGATGGTGTCGCTGCCACAGTGACTGTGGCTGGGAGCCCTATAGCCAGGCCCCAGGGCAGTTCCCTCCAACCCCCCCCTGTCAGCAGCAGGCCTGGGACTCAGGAGATTACGGTTCACTTCTTGGCTCCGCCGTGGGCTCCCTGTGCAACGGAACTGCATGCCTCTGTGCCGTAGCTTGATTACTCTCCCAAAGCCTTGTGAGGTAAAGTCATTGGTGGAGGCACGGAGATGGATGCCCTAGGAGTATCTAGGCAGAACATGACACAGCCGGCTGTTGTTCTACTTCCTTCCTTCCACCCCCAATAGGCACAGCCAGGAGATGTCACTGGCAGTGCCTCTCCAGTGGAGCTGTGTTGCCAGGGAGAGAGGGGGAAATGAGACAGAGGTCTATCTGAGGGTGGCTCTGGCCCCTCTAGACCTTCTGTCCTGACCGAGTTGTGGTGATCAAAGCAAGTCATGATTTATTCTGCAATTTTAAGCTAACTTTATTTTGCAAAAATCCAAACGACTCAATATTGGCCAAATAAAATATCATTAACTGAGTTTTGACACCTCCTCCTCTTGACAGCCTTTGAAGATATGCTTGAAAACCCCTTAAACAGCACTCAGTGGATGAACGATCCAGAGACGGGACCTGTCATGCTACAAAGCAAGTCATGATTTATTCTGCAATTTTAAGCTAACTTTATTTTGCAAAAATCCAAACGACTCAATATTGGCCAAATAAAATATCATTAACTGAGTTTTGACACCTCCTCCTCTTGACAGCCTTTGAAGATATGCTTGAAAACCCCTTAAACAGCACTCAGTGGATGAACGATCCAGAGACGGGACCTGTCATGCTACAGATC